TGAGCTTAATGCAACAGGCCTGAAAATTAAAATTCTGTCARTCTTGCATTCTGTGCTTTTATCTCAAGATAGAAAGTCATAACCAGTGCTAGAGATCAACACTTTCAGAGTTTGACCATCAGTACTTTGAGCATTTAGATGGCTGCTTTCACCCAAATACCTGCATACAGATTTTAATTTTCCTTCTCTTGAGTAGTTCGATACAGAAGTGAGAGGTAAAGGTGGCCTATAGCCCAAGAGGTGACAACTCTGTGCGTGCAGCCCCCCAGCCGCTCACAAACTGCAGGTGAGCGCGCACAGAGCTCGGCCTTCGGGCCATGAATTGCCTTCTGCTTTGCTGAGCCTAAACGTGGTATTAGAAGGTGCCCTAAGTGCCCCACCACGCAGGGGGCTGCCCCACAGCTGCACGCACCAGAGCTCCGGAGTGAGGAGCTCTGAGGAAGGAGTTCAGAAGGCCTGAGAGCTGAGGCCCCCGGCGCTTCCCAGGTCGCTGCCGAGGCACCAGGTCAGCAAGCTGGCAGGGAGCCGGGCAAGGGCTGCACCAAAGCGCCACATTCTGAGGAATCAGCAAATACTTCAATGAAAAACGTCAGATTTTTTCCAACGGGTTCTACTCACAATCTAAACAAATAAACGGCGTGGGGAGGAAACGCTGTCCTTATTTCACACCATGGGGATGAAGGCATAGAGATGCCAAGCAGCTGCTGCCGGGTGCTACAGAAGCCTGTGCTCAGGAAGCAAAGTGCGATTCCATGCGGCCCGCCCAAGCACAAGAGGCTCCTTCCTCGGAGCTYAATTCATGTGCCGCTACAATGACCTTGGGAGGTGAGAGCTGCTCTCACTTTGTAAGGAGGAAACTGCAATCACTTTTACAACAGCAAGTAGGAAGCCTGTATCTGAGCCAGGACGTGAACGCAATATTCCTAACGCTGCTAAGCTTTAGTAGCAAGCCTAGCTTTTTCTGCCATGGACAAGGTACACAGATAAGACACAGTCAGCCTTGGTGGATAAGGCTACTAATAGCAGCAAAATACCTCTTTGCTACAGTGTTCTCACACTGAAGACACTGTGTCCATATAAAAATGCTGTTTTTCTGTGGCCAAATGTGGCAATAAAGGCAATATGTAAAGCTCTGCTCTCACATAAAAAGAGGTAAGCAAGGCTTCCCTAAATATCACATTAAACTGGTTCTGCTGGCTCTGCTGAATGCCAGCAGCTGTACATACCTGCAGCTGTATGCACCCAGCCTGCCTTCCCTGCTCTCCTATGGCGCTTCTGTCTGCAAATACTGACTAGTCCTGCAGCTGACTTTCCACTTTGAACACAGTGCCTAATTATAGGCAAGAGCAGTAGCTCACCTGATATTAAAATCAGCTCACAGTTTTAATGAGCCCTGTTTTCAAATGCTTTTTTGTTTTCTTATCTTTGCCAATTTTAGATTTGGGTCGAAATTTCCCAATGGAGAAGAATTTCCTTTTAGAGAACAGAGTTATGAGAGGCCCAATTTTTTACCTATTTTGGCCTGTGAAGAATTTACAATTTGATACGGTAGTGGCATCAAAGTAATGTAAGATRAGTGTAAGACGTTTGTACTAGGGATGTATCTAGGAAAAATCTGCTCAAATTCAGCAAAGTCACAAATGTTTCAAATTTGTCCCTAAGTGCATAATGGCAACCTTGGAGTTTATCAAAAAACTGCCACGAATTCTGCTCTCACTGAACATGCCCAAGTCCTCGGCTCCATTACCCAGTGCTGCCACCTGAATGCCACAGAGGAAGAGACCGCAAGTTACAAGCAAAACTATCCAGAGTTTGAGCAAAGGAGGGGGAAAGAGTAGAGCTCTTGGTTGAGGGTGAAACTCTGACTGGGAATTGCGGAGGAAAGACTGGACTGGGACCAAGTAGGCAGGAAGTAAAAATTAGAATTKCTTGAGCAAGGAGATTTTGACATACAGAAGAGGGGTAACAGGATTAGGAGTTCTCAAGGGAAATTAGGAACAGACTAGGATTCACTAAGAAAAAGAGACTGACATTGTGTGAGAAATATGAATGGGATGCACAGGAGTCCTGGGAGTAGAAGTACTTAGGTTTGCCTGGGAAGGAGATGGGGAAGAAAAACATGTAGATGCAGAGCAGAAACGAGAGCAAAGGATGGAGCTTGGATGGGAGACCTAAGAGTTTGATGAGTGAATGCTGGAAACAAGGGAAGGCACCTAACAGGAAAAGGGGGAAAACCTGGAGCCAGATGAAAGGTGAAGTGGAAGGAGAGAGRCAGCTTTAAGCAAAAGAGTCTGTGTTCATTTAAAGACGCTTTCCTCCAGAGTCCATAAAGAGTCCTGACAACCACCACTTCTGCAGGGCAATCAAGTGTGTTTGAGAACCACTGGCAAAGTGTGTTTTTCCTCCTTTACTAGTTTGGTTTATTCGATGGTGACCCACTATACCAGAACTGTGGTAGCCTTTCTGAAAGTTGTTTTTACAAACAAATCCTATGACAGTCAATATAATGTCTCACTTGGATACTGGAATTAGGAATGACTCGTAAAATGAAACCATAAAAGACAGCAAATACCATAGCTAGTATTTCCTATGCTGTGAGAGGGAAGATAACAGCTTTCATGTGAGGCACAGCAGAATAAAATTCAGTCTGGAAAAGAGACAGAGAGTGAGGATACGATAGAAGACTGTAGAAATCACGAATGGCTGAAATAAGAGAGCAGGAAAGGATTTTCCATCTCTTTCAATGGAAGCTGAAAGCTTGACTGGGTAAAGGAAAGCAAGGATAGGTACATGTGAGATAAACCAGTCGATGATTTCTGCTGTCTTGGCTCTGGTTTGTGAACTACAAAGCGGAGGGGCCTGCACAAGCCTCAGAGAGCACAGGAGAAGTTAGCCCTGCCCTTACTCCTTATCTGCTGCTCTTGCTGATTTGTGGAGGGGAAAAGTAGAGTCAGATCCTCAAGAAGAGGCTCCATAGGAGGCAGAGAAGGTCTGAAACCTCTTAATGTACATCTGGGCYATAGCTTCCCACTCACCACAAGGGCATAATCAGAGGATCTTGTAAATCACAAAGCCAACCACAGGAACAGGATGGAARCTTCTCTTGCAGGCCATGGAGCTCACAGCCCAAGCTGCCCATTGGGYTTCCTCACCATTTTCTCATAGTAATTGACTGGGTCTCTGGGCAGGACACAAGCTGAAAAAATGGACTAAGCAGAGCAGTGGTTGCCACCTATAAACTGGACACTTGTCACACACCACAAAAATATTAAAATTCCATCTTGTTGAGAAAAGTGCCCGAGATTGTCCCCTCCGAAAGGAGCCATAACCTTTGCCTCTAAGCACTCAACATCAAAGGGTTTTCTCATAGTGCTAGTGCAATAGTGTTTCATAATCTTGCACTCACTTGCTGAAACTACCGGTTAGAGTAAGTGAAGGCAGGTAACACCAGATACGAATCAAATTGCCCTGAGGCTTAGAATTTAAACCKTTAGAGAGGGACTTAGACCTAGGCTGTCTCTACCATGCATAGAGACACTATGCATGGTAGAGAGCTGGAGAGCTAAGCAGCACGGAAGTGTCCAAAATTAATCAATAGCCYAAGCAAAAAGTTGCTTAAAATTAGCAGACTCCGTGTGTATTTGCATGGAGTCAGGTAAAAGTAAATGCTGCAGGGCTATGTCCTAAGCTCTGCCTCTCAGGGCTTCACTCAGACTCAGTTCTTTAGGCCCAGCTGCCATYCAGAGGTACCTGGRCAGGCTGGAGAGTTGGGCAGAGAGGAACCTCATGAGGTTCAATAAGGACAAGTGCAGGGTCCTGCACCTGGGGAGGAATAACCCCAGGCACSAGAAGAGATTAGAGGTTGACCTGCTGGAAAGCAGCTCTGCAAAGAGGGACCTGGGAGTCCTGGTGGAYACCAAGTTAACCATGAGTCAGCAGTGTGCCCCCGTGGCCAAGAAGGCCAATGGGATCCTGGCTGCATCAGGAGGAGTGTGGCCAGCAGGTCGAGGGAGGGGATCCTGCCCCTCTCCTCAGCTCTGGTGAGCCTGCACCTGGAATATTGGGTGCAGTTCTGGGCTCCCCAGTATAAGAGGGACATGGAGCTTTTAGAGAGGGTCCAGCGTTGGGTTTCATAGATGCCTGCTGAAAGCACCAATTGATGAAAAGATGAAGCAGGAAGTCTTAAAGAACTGCTTTCTTTTTCACATGGCCATGTCATGGGCATGACAAAAGAGCAGCTTCCTGCTCAGTCTTCAGCTCAGCTGATGTAGGATGGTGCAGCTTGGAGCAGACAACGTCCCTACCAAAAGGGACCGTGATGGGGAAGGTGACCACACTCCAGCAGCACTGAGCTCAGGGCACTGTGTCAGTCACTCAGCGAGGAGGTATGTACGGCCTKATCCAGACTGGCAGTGCTTCTTCCTCCTTTTGGGAGCAGAGGAAGAAAGCGGAGAACTTTAGTCCTGCTATGGACACAACAGCCATAATGTGTGACAAGCAGCTGCTCTGGTTAGTGTTGCCGCAACACCTCTTCTCCAGGCTCATTTTGCTGAGCTACCCAGGCTGAAAGCTTCGACTCACTTTACAATGCAGTTCAGCAGGAGGTAAACAGTAGCAACGGGAAGAGCTCCTGCCAGCTATGGTCTGTTTCAGGATAAAATGCCCTTTTTAAAAACAAGTGTTTTTATCTTCAAAGATATAGGGTTTATTTGAGAAATTTCCTCTCTGGGCAGGATTTGGGGGAACCGCGAGAGAACTCATTCCCGCAGGATTTCTTGCAGTTGCCTCTCACAGCCCTTGGTGCCTCTGGCTGCCGCCGGTGCAGAGTTAAGAGCCCGGGACGAGCCCAAGCGCAAAGGCAGCTTCTGTGGCACCGCGGGGGACGGCGGCAGACGGAACACAAGCCGCGAATCCCCTTTTCCTCCAGCGCAGGCCCCGACGCAGCCGTCCCTGCTCTGCCCACGGGCTGAGGGTGCGGAGGGCGCCGCGGCCGCATGTGGCCGGGGCGGCGGGCGCAGAGCGCGCGGCAGCCGTGAGCCGGTGCCCGCTGCTCGCGTGTCCCCGCCCGGCCCGGCCGCCTCGCCTCGCCGCGCCCGCCACCGCCGCCGCTGCGGCGCGCGCAATGCGGGCGGCCGCGCCGCCCGGCCCCCGCTGAGCGCCGCCCGCTGCCGCCCATGTGGGCGCCGCGGTGAGGCCGGCGGGACGATGCTGCTGTCGCTGGTGCTGCACACGTACTCCATGCGCTACTTGGTGCCCGCCGCCGTCATGATGGGCGCGGCGCCCACCTACGTGCTGGCCTGGGGCGCCTGGCGCCTGCTCTCGGCGCTGCTGCCCGCGCGCCTCTACCGCGAGGTGGACGACCGCCTGTACACCCTCTACCAGAGCATGGTGCTCTTCTTCTTCGAGAACTACACGGGCGTGCAGGTGCGCGGCGCGCGCGGGCGGCCGTTGCGGAGCGGCCGTTGCGGGGCGGCCGTTGCGGAGCGGCCGTTGGTGATGTCAGCAGGGCCGCGGGGCGGGGGGGGGRGGGGGGCGCGAGGCGGGCGCTGTCAGCGCCTCGGTGGCAGCCGCCGGGGCGCACGTGAAGCGCCCGGCGCCGCCGCGGCACGCGGGCGCTCGCGGCGCCCTGCGCAGCAGCGAGGTGTTTGAAATAAAGGCAGGACGTGCTGCCCTCTGAACTGCCACTTAGCCGGTTTTCCTGCAGTTCGTCCGCTGTCAGTTTGGGGCCTTTGTGTTTAGGGACAGGCAGGGGTTGTGATTKTTCTTGGTACCTCCAATTCTAGGATCCCAGTTTTCATGTTGAGATGCCGGAATTTGAGGCCTCTCCTGTGTTGCCAAGGGTGTATTTCATTTCAAGTAGTATCCCTTCATTTAACACTTAGCCTAGGAAGCATTAAACGTTTGAAGGAGTCAYGTATCAGTTTGCAATAGGAAGGCTAAATACAGAGACTTTTAATTCTACATTAAAAGTAATTAACTAAATTGAGAGGTGCCCACAGCGCTTTAGCCTCGCTTCCAGAGCTGCTGAGCCTGCAGAAGTGTGACTGAAGCCAGTGTCAGCTGCTGGCGCTCAGGAGCCAGGCCTCCTAGCAGTGTGTAGCTCWCTGGTTTAACTCATAATTCCTGTAACTTTCTCCATGTATCTTGCCCAAATTCATTAACTTTTTTTTTTCCATTTGGTTCCATATCCGTTTTTAAAAAAAAAAAAAAGTCAGTTCACAGATTAAGTACTTATTGCTGGTACCTACCTTGCATCTTTAATGCAGGTATCTTGATATGTAGTAAAGCATCAGTAATTACCTGCTAAAGTAACTGTGCAATGGCTTAACCTGCTCCAAGAATGAGAGCTAAAAAGGAACTAACTGTAATAAAAATATCCAGGTTTTGTATGAATAGTGTGCACAGAATAGATACTGCTTAGAATTTTTGATAAACACTTTTATCAAAAAAAATGCCTATTGCGTAAAGATGCAGAGAGGAGAATGACAGGGCAGCTGGAATCTGTTGACCTTTTGTTCCATTGATAAAACTACTTATCGGAATAAAATATAGTACAGGTGATCACTTAGAACAATTCCAAGGTATAGATGCTTTGTCACTGCAGTAACAGCAGATCTTAGGGGAAAGGGAGAAAATATAGGTGAGGATGAAATAAAGGGTCATAGAAACAAAGAAGAGAGCCAGAGAACAGTATGGTATGTGTCACAGGATAAGGAAAATAGTAACTTAGACTGAAGGCTAATTAGAAGCATGGAAGATGTGATGCATATGTAGAGAGCTAGGAGGACTCCTAAAGACTCATGTATTATTTAACTGGAAAATATCCCACATGTATTTGAGGAGGAGATATGGGATGGCCTCTAGGGCCTACTCTTGKAAATGCTGAACTCGTTTGACTTGAAACTCTCTGTGGAAAGTTAGGCATGAATCTCAATGTTTGAGGCTGGGATGGTCACCTGAGAGCAGCTGAATTGGCTGCTTTAAGGCCTCCCATGGGCCTAATGGATCAGGTGACTGAGTACAAAGGTATCATCACTAAACTCAATCGTTCCAAAACCTGTGTAAGAAAATAGTAGCTTGTGTGATTTCATGAATGTAGAGCCTTACCAGGAGGCCTTGTCATGATAGTCATTGGAGGAAGGAATTTAGCTTTTTTTATCTATTTTTTTTTTTTAATTTTCAAGCCTTTTATCATTTAATCCGTTTGTTTGTTTATTTATTTGGAACAGGATAAATATGAGGGCCAACAACTTCATCCATCAGAGCACTGGCACACAACCCGTAGCCTCACTGAAGTCATGGGGATTACACAGATGCTTAAGTGATTTACTAAATCAGAGCATTAGTGACTCGTTCTTAGCGCTGCCACCGTCTTAGCCTACRTAAGAAAAATTAAGTTTGTGTCCTGTTTAGTAGGATTGGGCTAATTATGCCTAAATTACTTTGGATTTTCMCTATGATAACATTGACACTACTGTGAATATTTGTTATCTGTGATCTTAAAGTCATAATCTTGTTGTAATTGCTGATAATGTCAGTGGAATGCGAACTGACCAAAAATTACTACCAAAAATGACCTAAATGTAGATTGTCTTTTGACTGAATGAAGTAATAGTGTATCTTGTTTGTATATATGTTTGTGAGGGAGAAAAAAGAATGTTGTTGATACACAGAAAGTTTGTCCCCAGGAAAAGAAAAGCAAACAAGATACACTATTACTTCATTCAGTCAAAAGACAATCTACATTTAGGTCATTTTTGGTAGTAATTTTTTCCTTTTTTTTTTTTTAATCCACTGACTTGAACATTTCAGTCAAGTTTTTTAAAACAAAAATTTACTTCATTCAAGGCCTCTCTTCCTGTTCTCCTCCTGTTGAGGAGAGCTCAAGTAATTAGACTTACAGTTTCTGTGAGCAGTTATTCAGTGTTCATATTCTGGAGAATGGCTGAGGATATAACTCTAGGAAAAAAATCTCATTTTTCACATGAGATATTTTCACATTTTCTTTTTTTCCCTATTATCTTTTTTTTCCACCAAAAGGCTGTTTTTACACAGCCTACACAGATTTGAGATGGTAACTCTTTAGGTTTTCCAATAATATTACAGGTCAGAGAACAGCCCTACTCCTTTCCCATGGCTTCTGCTGCAGACATGATGGGGATTCCCACCTGGCCTGTGRCAAGAAAAACACACAGAGCAAGAGGCTCTACCTCTGTGTAAAGTGAGTGCATGTAAAGGGAGCCTTGGAGAGCTCAGGATGTAAAGTTAATGAGCGAGGAGCCAGAGCGGTTGYGGACACAAGCAGGTGCGATTCCCGTGCCCTGGGGGACGTGCAGCCCGCTTGTCCACTTGCGCTGCAAGCGGCCTGGCCCGGAGCTCCTGAACGGCAGCGTGGGAGCCGCGCGGCTGCCTCCCTGCCTTTCTCCCTGCTCCGGCACACGTGGGACACTTGCATTGCACACAGCCCACAGCAAACAATAAACAGTTGTATCTTAACGAAGAGCGAAAACGGAAAATGGTGAAAACGAAAATGACTGCAAATGTGCATCTGATTAGGGCGTTTGAAGGGCTGAAAAGGCTCCTCATGCAATGTGGTGAATCCTGTCATCTCTCTGTGGCCCTCACAGTCTTATCCCAGTTGCTGTCACTGATGAAATTAATGCCTATTGTGTTTGTGCACATACTTCAGATCAGATGAGGACTTAATGTTCTTCATTTTTGTGCGTGTGTATTGTAATTGTGCCTGATATTTTGCATTGAGTGGCACTGAAGGAATATTAAAGAAATCATCACTTGGACTGCTTCCTAAAGGATCATTTTCCGTCTGAAAGATTTTGACAATTGAATAAAATCTATGTCAGAATTGATGTGCAGGGGTTTTGTTCGGTGCTTGTGTCAGCTCTCTTTGCCCCCACCTCCTTTTGAATAGCAGTCATCGGAAGTGGCACTTTGATTAAAGACATTATGATATTCTAATTTTCATGGTCATTACGGGACTCCAGAAGGGCCGTGAGAATCAGATACTGCCTCAGTGGTGCTTAGCAAAGCTGCGATAGTTCTAATAACTTTTAATTTCTAAGATTTTTAAAAGTACATGAGGTAACTGTGAAATAATRCAGTGTGCTCTTTGTATTGAAGCTTGGACTGCTGTGCTTCCCAAGGATGAAAATTAGCCAGGAGAACTASAGCAGATTAAAACTTTATTGAGACCCTGCACTGACGGACTTCTAGCTAAGCTTTCCTGCGAAGTAGAAACCGGGCTGGGTTTAATGTCTTGGCTTCCTAGATATGTGAGGAGAGGCAAGTGACAGAGGATTGAGATAGATACTGAGTGCCACAGGAGTCAAGAGTGTTAAGAGTCCAAGTTCTGTGTTTGAGCTTATTCTCAAGGTAGCAGCCTAGCCCGACTAGTGTTTTTTTATTTTTTTTTTATTTTATTGCAAACTCTCTCTTAATCCTTGGGATGTTGTTTTGCTGAGCAGCTCCAAGGCAATTCAGGAGGACCCTAGGGCATATGTGGGAAGTGAAACAGGCAGCACACGCTTAGTGGCAAAGCTGCAGTTCCCCATTTCAGGGAGGTGCTTGTGGTGGTGGTTGGTGAGATGGCTTCTCCTTTCTCAGGCTCCAGGCTCCCTCCCCAGCGTGGCAGCCCTTGCCTTGCTGTGTGACAGCCCGGCCGCATCAAAGCAGGGGCAAGGTTTGCTTCGCAGCCACGTTCTGCCCTTAGATGTGAGTGGCCACCCCTCGGGGTGAGGACCTGTTTCCCAGACAAGTGCCATATAACCATCAACTTCAAAGGAGGCAGCGCCCTTYGTTGGTCTGCAGTTGTATTTGGAAAGAAAGTGCCAATAATTGTGTCTTGTCAGGACCTGGCTTTGTAAATGGGAACTTGTTTTCTGTGAGCACTTCCCCCATTGGGCACCTGACCGGGCAGGTCAAGGGTGGAACAGAACAGGGTTGGTGCAGGAACCAATCTGGAATGCAGAGAGCTGAAGGCAAGACAAACCTCCAAGGTTAGGTGCAAGCTGAAGACCTGAAGGACTTGCGTTTTGGTAGCACAAGTCCCTCTCCGGGTGTTGCTTGTAGCACATCTCTTAAATGACATATTTTGAAGTGAAAATGGTTGGGCAACAGCAGCTCTTCTTACTACTCTACTGATCTTGCTSTTTTGTGAAGCAATGTTAAGATTAGAGATAGTAGGAGAACAGAGAAGTTGATCTTATTTTTGTGTGGTAAAATTATGAAAGAAGCTCTTGCTTTTCGTAAGGAAGTTTTTCCACTACCACTCTAGATAAATGAAGAGAGTTTACCCAAGCTTAGAAATTTCGGGGAGATACAGTCTCCAGGAAGCCATCTCTTTTATAGCATACAGCAAAGTCCTCTGTGTAGTTGTAGCAGAAGTTAAATGATGCCTGCTAATCCTG